ATGAAATGCATGATATTTTACATTACACGATTTATAGTACATGCTGACAACTATATCCTAACTAATTTATATTAGGAAGTATTTATGACATTCTTCCAATACATGAAGCATACAACAGCACCAGTATTTTTGAACTGAAGAAGACATTGAAGCATGAATATAAAATAAATAAATTAAAAATATACTTACAAACTTATATCAATAAATATACACTGCATGCAATCGAGACTAGCCTTGTTCTTTATTCTAGTTCTCGCTCTTTTATCATTAGAGAATTATCCCTATTCTTCCCTGGATACAGGTCTACAAATACTTCTAGAGCCTCTTGTCATTTCGACAAACGAGAGAAATTACTTATTAACTTTCTCAGAGTCACTCAGACACCCCCGCCCTCTTGGCAGAAAATCTTGTACTGATTAGTTCTACGAGGTTAACGCTTCTAAAACCCTGAATTCCGTCTGGTAATATACACCCTTCCTTTAGCTTAGTCAAATTTAGGATTACCACTTTACCACTTTCAAGTTGAAAAATACTCTCACATTTTGTCCAAAAATAAGCGCCACGGAAATGTAAAAAAGAAATGGTAGAAAATTTGAAACGGCAAGGCCTTCTAAAAGCATTAGAGATTATATTTTAAACATCAGTTGTGACTGGGAGAGTGTGTGCAACTTCTGCCAGTAAAAAAAAAATATGAAAACTGAACTCGTCTTAAAAACTATATTCAGTATATTTGTTGTTTCTGTTCTCTGTAACGGAACATTTAATATTTTTGGACTAGTCGCAAGTCATTAAAGATTATTTGGAATTTTACTCAAGATACTGTTTTAGCACTTGGAAAATGTTGATGAATAAATAACTTACTGATTGTACATAAATTGTTAAGTTTCATTTTATTTTCTTACTTAATTTGACACCTACTGTCTTATTTTGGAAAGATGAAAAGAGAGATAGAGAAAAAAAGCCGCAAACAGAACGTGTATGTACATCATTTGATGTTTTCCGCAGTATATGACGTCGTCGTCTTTTTTATTGCAAATATAACAAATTTAATGCAGGCAATGTTGTACAATATTGTGGTTTCATCACATACAATCTACACAAAAGCAACTATTTTACGATCGTATCAGTGTCATGAAATATCCAAAAACGAGTGACCCAGAATGTTCATTCAACTGTTTCAATTATTTCTAGACAAGCAGTGTTTGACTCGGCATATATTATCTGCTTATCACTATTCACATTCAGAATTTCGATTGTCAAATCCAATTCTTTGCCTCTGATGAGTGTTCTCGAGACAACCATTTTTCAAAGCGTATGATGCTGAACAACAATTCTATTTCCGACATTACTAACAATGACAATATATCAAAATTTGCTGGAACAATCATTTCGTGTATATTCGCATGGATTTGTTGAAAACTGTCTTCTCTCATGGACCAATAAGTAATCTATGTCTTTCCCTAGGCTTGATCTTTGGTTAGGTATATCTAGAAAACAAAGATAACGATTGATGTCAGAGTCAATACATGCGATATACAACCCTACGTCGACAGCCAAAAGTTTCTAAGTTGATAAGAAGCAATCTTCCACTAGTCATTTTTCATCCTACCCATTGACTCTCTCTAGTTCGGAACTATTGCTACTAGGTTTCTGGGTACGACAATCTGTCTTCAAATAACCCAGCTAACCACATATGTAGCATCAATTTGGTTTGGTTTCTGCTTCGCCTCAATCCAGCCTAATTATTTCAATTCTTAACTCTGCAACAAAGTAGTCTTTTCCAGGACCTTACAACATCAAATCTCGAATTGATCGTTTCTGATACTCAAAAGCTTGGGACCTTTACGACGCCATTTCATGTGAGACAAGCACAATCTACAAACGCAATGCTTGTATAACAAAAGTTACCATATCCGGACAATCGAGCGTTCCAGTTAATTACCACACACACACACACACACACACACACACACACACACACACACACACACACACACACACACACAGACACGCATACATGTATGGCGACCAAACCCTCTCGCCTATCCCAAAAAGACAAATGGAAGCTTGCGAAAGACAAATGTCAATATGTTTCTAAACTTTATATAAAGTAGTTTTATCTAAACGTTTACGCTGATGTCTATGGCGCATCAGCACTGAAGGAAGACAAGGGTACAGTTATAAGAGTTGACCGACTGTTGCAGTTCACAAATGTTTCTTGTAAAACAGAGAATTGAAGTAAAATGGCCTGTTCCAAATCGATATGTATGTATGTATGTATGTATGTATGTATGTATGTATGTATGTATGTATGTATGTATGTATGTATGTATGTATGTATGTATGTATGTATGTATGTATGTATGTATGTGTGTGTGAATTAATTATAGTAAACTCCCCCGGTCTATCAGCACACACATACACACATACAGATTTTCAAGAAACAACGTTGACGGCGTTGCACAAAGTTCAATAACAACTTCTACAGTGATAGCAATTAAACATCGATATTGTGCTAATGTATTAACGTGATGGTTGTATCCTTTTTGATCAAACGAATTCCTAAGACAATAGTTGTATACAAACGAACAATCAGAAATGATGAACGTTGAAACATTGGAACAACTACATAAAACAGAAGCATTTAGCCTCCGTGAGACTATTTTAGTGAAATTAGCATATAGTAGCACAGAAATCAATTATCTTGCAACAGTAACATGAGAATATCCTCCATCAGGCTACTGTGGCTTAGATCTGTAATGTTTCTTCATACATATTGCGATGGATTTTGACATTAAACATCTTTCCAACGACGGTAACCCTAAGATACATGTTAAGAACCAAACCTTTCCAAAAAAAATAAAGTTGACTTCTCTCGTGTCAGTGAAAACATTACAGCAAAACCCATCTCATTCATCAGCAGAAATCTGATTTGGTTCATGTTCAAGTATTTAAAAAGGGTAATTTATTTGCCAGTTCACAAGCCAAAACATTTTATTAATTTTATTCAGGACGTTGTTGTCACACATGATTCGGATCTATGTAACCATTTTGTTGACAACACACTCGCCAAGGTTCACCTTGACTTTAAAATTATGGAATCCATAGTCAAAATCGAGTCTAATAAGTTAATGAATTTGATTTACATGCATTAACTCGAATAATGTTAAAACCTGATATATTCAAATGCATCAGACTTGGTATTAAACAAAAGAATTACTCAAGACCTTGACCACCAAGGACATGAAAATTCATCACAGGTCTTGGAAGTCACTTCATATTGGAGGTTATACTTTTATCAGCATGTAAAGGAAATTTGTCAAGGAGCATATGAAAATTTAAATGTACTCAAACGTACAAAAACACATTTAAGAACTGAAGAGACAACTGGTAATATATCACTTTTTCATCATTGCAGACTTCTACCATTTTACCTTTACATGTCATTTCAGTAGTCACACTAATATGATAACGTGCACATGCTTCAGACGCCACATAAAGAGAGTTGTCTTTCGGGAAATCTTACTCCGGAGAGAATGAAACAATACGATTTCATGCTTCTAAATAAAAAAATGTCCAACCTAAATATAATTGGCCTACCATTTAAATTGTGATAAGCATTGTATTATGAAAATTGTGATGATGTGCCGTTAAATTCTACACATATATATGCAATAATACACACGTATCCCTTTATATCACCCCATTAGAAATATTGATATTGAAAGTTTAATAATGATATCGTAACAATATGTTAATGTAAGGGAAGCAATGTATATATTATATAAACCTTGAATGCAGTTAAAATATCTAAATATTAGAACTCAGGTCAAACAATGGATTCAACATCAAGGAAATGATAAATAACGATAATAAACGATAACAATTAACAGCAATGAACAATAAAGTTTGGTGATATTTTGAAAAAATGTAGAACTATATAGTATAGCCAAGTAATGTCCCTTTGTTAAATTGGCAAGACTAAAATAGAAAATTTACCTGTTTATATTAGAGTGTACTAGTCAAAGAATCAATACATGCAAATTTACAGATACCCAATTTTAAGATGCGTGAATTTAATTATAATGAAGCATACAAACTAATAATGTTTGAGTACCGACCCACAATCTACCACGTAATTCCGATAATTTTGGTGGTGGTAGAATGATTTCGTTGGGGGCTTGGTCTGCTGTATAAAGGATGTATATCCGAAGTGGTTAGAGATCACTTACAGGCCAAGTCGGAGGGAAATGTTTCACAACAGAAATAATTAACATTCTTCCCGTGATTAAAACTGATTGGATGTTTCACATGTTGTGCATGATACTGACTGCGATTGTTAATGGAAATAGATTAGCTATAAGTTAAGTTTAGAGCACGCCTATTTAGCAGAAATGAGGAAATATGCCGGTTGATAAAAAAGTTATGCTGAACATTTTATTAATATGGCAAAGAATGGGTCTTATCTATGTATGGGACTCACTCTCCCTCTCCGTTATGATTACATATGATTTTTATTTACATAAAACAGTTGCCAGTTCTAAAATGAGTGTGTATATACCTTGATGTTCGCTGTTCTCAAGGTACTGTATGATTTTCGACTCCGTAAATGCCCCGTTTTGAGATGTTTATGCAAACTGCATTGGAATAGATGATGTAGCAACCTCATAATGTAATGCGACGTGACACAATATCACACATTGAAACCAGTGAATATATAAAGGTACATTCGTATAAGAGTTCCTAAGAAATAGAGTTTGTGATGTGATTTTAATTTTTTAACGTAGATTTAACAATTTTGCACTCATATCGCTACTTTGTCTGCAGTGTGGCAGTTTATAGTATTGTCTAGCCCTGGCGAATCATGCCGCAGACATGTAGCATGATGTTCCAACCAGTCACATTATCATGACACCAGGCCGAACAGTCCTAACACTAATCTCTTAATGCTGAGCATCAAGCGAGGCAGCTATTAGTACGAGTTTTGTAAGCCTTTGGTATGACTCGACCGGGGATCGAACCCACGACTTTCCACATCCGAGGCGGACGCTATAACCACTAAGCCACCAGAGCGGTCGAAAAGATAAAGAGATATATAAATCTTGGCAGCAAATAAAACAGCAAGTTCATGAGTTACAATTTTAAGGATTTAATTAAATTAATGAAGCTGTCATGTTAGTAAGATTTGTGTCACATTGACACACAATGTATTTAAATCTAACGTAATTCGTGGCTTCATAGACCTACAAGTTACTTTTAATAGAGGCACAAAACAAAACATATTCAGGCTAGTTTTACCATAGTCATTAAAATATATTTTTTTTATAATAAAAAACCACTTTAAAAAACGGAAACATTTTTCTTTCTTTGGCAAGGTTGTGGACATTTATTTCTTACGAATATATATCTGACCTATTTACAAAGCATAGAATGTGAAACTAAAAAGTCGTGAAAAATTTTACACATGCTGTCAGTGAGATCTCAATGCAATCGAATGTAATTTAAATCTTTCTTCCATTAAAAAGTAATTTTCTTCAACAGTTGCATTTTTAACAGCGATGAATCAAACATTTAGAAGAAATGATCCTCTGTTTAGCAACAAACTGTTTTCACAGGTTCCATACCTCACTTCCCAGATATTGAAGTTTAAAATCTGTTTGTCTGTATGAATATAGTTAGACGTGATTAAAGCATGACATATTTTTAAATAATTTAATAATTTCTTGAAAACTAAATCCTAATCAACGTTGAACTAATATAAAGTACATTACAAATCTCACTTCAGCGGATAAAGATCATACCAATTCTTCCCCTGGTAATTAGCAAATAGAACTAAACTAATACATTGTTATTGTAGCAATATCTGTTTTAGGATACAATAAATGCTGTTGAATTTTGGGGTCCGAATCCAAATAAAATTTTAGTCACCATCAGTCTCAGTGTGTGTCATGACATGTTCTCCATCCATCAAACATGGCTCAGAACGCCATTGTTCTATATCGACTCTCACCAAATTGTGATGGCCGAAGCAGCCTTTAATTCTCCACTGCCTTATAGAAAAATCGGATTTGTCATCACATTAATTATGAGAAAATAGCTTGGAATAATTTTAACTGCAGCAATTGACAGTAAGACATTTATGAATGTTTATCTGATTTAAAATGTCGACATTATATGGATCACTCAAACCTTTATCTGACAGTACCTGAATGGAAAGAAAGAAATGAAATCCATGGTGATGGAAGTAATATATTATTAAACTACAACAATAATTTCAATTTCTTAATTACTTTTGCAAAAATTTCAAAATGTCAAAATTTGAGAGTCGGGCTGACGTGTTCACGCTAGTGAACATCATTCATTATTAAAGAAAATAGGTTGAATTCCCTTTGTAATTTTGTTTACAGTTTGCAGCAAATAGCAACGGGATCTAGTTAGAGAGAGAGAGAGAGAGAGAGAGAGAGAGAGAGAGAGAGAGAGAGAGAGAGAGAGAGAGAGAGAGAGAGAGAGAGAGAGAGAGAATATGTTGCACGCTAGAAAATAGCATGACTTGCTCTTTTAAAAACCTGGTCTAGTACCCGTCGGTTCCATTCATCCAGTTTATGCGGGAGGTCGTGGGTTCGATCCCCGGTCGAATCATACCAAAGACTAACAAAAATGGTACTAACAGCTGCCTCGCTTGACGCTCAGCATTAAGAGGTTAATGTTAGGACTGGTCGGCCTGGTGTCAAGATAATGTGACTGGGTGGGACATCATGCGACATGTCTGCGGCATGATACCCCGGTGCTTGACATGACTATAAACTGCCACACTGCAGATATCGTAGCGATCTGACTGAAAAAGTGTTAAAGCTACGTTAAAAATCACAAACACACACACACACTTCTCTATTGTACCATGAGCCATGTTAATTCCCTCAAGAAAATGGCTTACGATCAGTAGTATATGTGGATGATATAGCGACAATGACAGTTATCATTAAAAAAAAAACACCCTAGGATACTATAGCGACAAGATTTATGGCGACAAATGGCACAGCCGAGCCTTTATAGCGACAATGGAAAATTTGTATTAGCACACCCTGGGACTGTATAGCGACAAGGGAAATGGCACAGGTGGTATGACATCACGGTACGGACACTTGGCTACAGTGTAGCAAGGAGCTGACCTAGTTGACCTAAATACACGCATCTAGCACTACGACTCTAGAGAGGGACATATGCACATACATACATAAACATATACATACATAGACAAAACAGGCACATAGAGACATAGAACACAGAGATAGAGATATAGCATTTTTTGGTTGAAAAGTATGATCTTTTCGAGGCATGGAAAGTGGCCCTGTTAACATCATGCAGTCAACATACAGAGAACATCGCATTGCTGTTTTCTTTCTCAACTTTCTCAAAGCTTGTCTTTAAACTGCATCTCACTTCTGGTCCAAGATGAGAGTCCGCTTGAAACAGCCTTGTCTTTCCACACAACATCTTTCCCAAACAGTGGCACCCATAATTCGGATGACAGTCCATTTTGTTTTCACATACGCGGGTAAGTCCGGACGGAAAAGCAATGACGATACCCACGTAGAGGATTCAACATCGATCAACATCTTCTTTGTGTATGATTATAACAGGTGAAGGCAATGAAGTGAACCGCGTGTATTTATAGGGAAAGAGTGAATCGAAACGGATTGAAATGGTTGTCCAATCCCAACTCGCGTTTCAAAATTCGGTCACTTCGTGGAATTTGTCTTCCAATCCAAAAAGAGTTCTCTGAGATGTCATAGTCCCTATATACGTTCACTGGCGTTTTGTGCGCAGTGAATTGAGGCGACATTATTGTGTCGAATATGACGGAACCTAAGAAGATAATGACTTGGGGTGCACCGGCTGCGGAGACGAAAAGCGTTGGCATAGCAGCAGCTGCTAAAGAGAACACAGTGCAACTGCACGAAGAGGTTGATTTCAACTGGAATATAGTAGATTTTCTCTCTTCGCAAAAATTTGTACCTGCACCAGTACCTTCACCAATTTCTCCTTCTTTACCACGCGTCGACGATTTTAGATAAAGAAAAAAAGAATTGGAGAAATTTTTACAGCAACAGAAAGAGGCAGAAGATGCATTTCTCCATGAACAGCAACAGCGAGAAGAAGAAGAGGCCAGAAGGAAACTATAGGAAGAAGAAGAAGCAGTAGAAAAGAAAGCAAATCAAGGAGAGATGGAAAACAGAGGAAGTCAAACGGTCACGATACTATTGGATATTTTAGCTCAGTTAAGAAGTTTGAAAGAAATGTATCAGACTTCGTTATTACGACTGAAGAGAAAAAGACCTACCCGAGCCAAGCAGCCTATCATTGTGACTACACCAGAGATACTACCATTAGAAATTTCTACTCAATCATTGACAAGAGCAAGTCCACAAGTTGGCTGTGGCAAAGGCCTAAGGCAATTAAAGCGAATTGATTCTCGTTCTTGAGTTTGTTCTCAGAAAACAAAAGACTCAAAGGTTCTTTTCAGGACCAACCATTATTTTCGAAAAGAAATAATATTCATTTTGCCAAAAATCAATGAAAACTTAAAATCTCTTGTATAACCCTAAAATGTATTTATGTGTGTGTGCGTGAATGTAGACTCTTATTCTAAAACATTAAAACCAGAAGACACGTTTTATCAATCTGGTCTAATCTGGTGCAACTATTTACAATTCAATTCACAACAGAACACAACACTTTTTTAAGAAAGTTAATAGACTTCTTCTGTGTCTGTGTTTCGTTCACTCTTTTTTTAATTTCTTCACTTTCATAGTTTCCGTCTCCTCCTCCTCCCCTTCCTCTCCTTTTTCTCTCCTTCTTTACTTCTCTTTCTGAACGTCTCAGGGTTCTTCCTTTTCCTCTTTTTCCTTCTTCTCCTGCTCCTGTTGTTTCTTAGGGCACTCTGAAGACCAATGTCCTCTCTCTTTATAATGATAACAGGTATCTCGACTTTTGTCTTTTTTGACACTGGTTTTTTGACGGTCTGGACATTCGGTAGCCCAATGCCCTTTATTCTTACAGATATAGCAAGTATCCTGACTTTTATCTCGAAAAGAAGACGAATAGTCCGTTGGATTTTCCGACGAAAACTTTCGTATGACACCTGGTAAAGCTCTAATGAGAAGTTCGATTTGTGTGGGTTCTTCCATCGTACTGGTCAGCTTGAGAGCAAAATGAATACTGAGAGGGAAGGAACTAGCCCTTTATATATGCACTGATTTGACATGAACATATAGGGACCATGGCATTTCAAATGTAGTCATTTCACTTTTTGGAATCAAGATGAAACAATCGCACGATTTCAGTGAGAGAGAAAAAGAAAGTAAGAGGCAGAAACGTGATTTATCGCCTCGCATAGTAGCTCAAATTCATGCCAGTGATTTTGAAGATGAGATGAGTTAACCAGAATCTAGACCCAGTGAGTCTACACCAAAACAAAATAAATTACCAACAGTAAACCCTAAATATTACTATCACATTCGAGAGAAGGACAAACGTTCCTCTAGAAAATTTAGAACTACGGCCCACACGTACACAGTAAAGTTTAAAGATTTCAAGTCCGACGTACCACTGGATGAAGCAGAAGGGTTCATCACCAATGTGTGGGATTCTTTGTTAACCAATCTGAAACAGCAATGTCAAGCCAAAGAAGACGATCGTTTGAGACTTTCCATTCATCACGACAATCTGAAGTCTCCCGTATAAATAGAGTTTAGCAAGTCATCAGAATTGACACCTTCCAAAGTCATTGACAATATTCAACACGTTCAACAATCCAACGACAAATTTCACATCAGTGTCGGAAAAGCGACACCGTTCATGACCCATGTTTCTCTTCCACAAGGGACAGGACGTGGTAGAAAAGTGTTATTGGTTGACAACCTTCGCAGTATTAAACGTTGCTTTGTTCAAATTAACAATCCTCAAGACGTGTTCAGCCAATGCTATCGTGGTGGGAAGAACGTATGCCGACAAGAACAATAGGACAGAATGAAAAAGAGCCTGGAAAATTATTCAACGATCGGACCGAGCGAAACA